AAACTCGTTTTCTCCCAGGAAGAGGTGGGAGGGAATTTTATATGAGCGAGAAACTTTGCCTCAAGTCGAAATCTGGGGCCTGGACTAATGAACTACCTGTAATTCACATTGTACTAAATATTGCTGAAACTAGGCATGTACTAATCGCGAACCATGCCAAACTATGCATAATTACTATGCTTTCTCTGTAGCAGTAATTAATTTGCGTTAGCAACTTTGATTAATCTTTCTAATCTAAAAGTAAAGTGCTTCTCAGACATGAAAGGCTCAAGGTTGTTATTGCAGCCCAGTGAAGGATGTTTCAATCCAGTGGGGGGCAGGAGGGGGACAAAACTTTAAAAAATCAAAGTATGGCTGATACGTATGAACTCATAAAAACTATTAACAGTTAAAGCATTCTGTTTTGCCACAGAATTCATCGGCTAAACTACAGGTTTCTGTACACAATATGTTCCTCCTGAAAGAAAAGAGAATCGTCATTAATTCAGTAAGAGGGCTTCTCTGAGGGCTGCTCCACAAAGAAGAGAGTTACATGTCGAACCGAGACTGAGATTACATCCTACGGAGGGCAATGCTATGTATTTATCGTTTGCAATGTTGCAGTGCAAACTTACCCATAAATTCATTTTAGTCTTAACCTGGAGGAAGGCATTGTTCAGCTATGATACTGAGTCAGTCCTCATTGTCAGTCCACAAAGGGTGTTGGTTGTGTTGCCTGTGAGTGATTTGGACATGCCTGCTTTTCAGGAAATATATATGCTAGGATCATCAACTTAAGACTATGTTGACAAACAGAGAGCTATCAGATGCTAATGTACGAACTAAAGTCTGACATCACTGGAGATTAAAGTTTCCATCCTTCATTGCCAACCTCCTGGCCCAAGCCAGGCTCTTCACCCAAAGGAATCCAAAACTGCTGAAAGGACTTATGTCATCAAATGGTGATTGTGATTTACCTAGACTTCATAAACGACCAGATCTACAAGAGGTATAATTTCTGAGGCAAGTAGATGTGTCTCCACAAACCCATTATGAATCCCATAGGTTTTTTAAGTTAACGTTTGGTTGCTTGTTTTATCCCTCAGACATGCTAATATTACAATTATTTTTTTCGTGTCTCCCCTGTTAGCACTGTTTCCTGGCAAGGAATACTGCTGCATGTAATTAACGATAGGCAGAATGGCACAGTAATCATTTGGAAATGGATAGTCTAGAGAGTACTAATGAACTTCAGTTTGGTTTAGATAATTTAAAAAAAATGCTATTACCTCAAAGGCTGAGATCAATTCTGTTTCCGCGAGTTAGAGAAATATTTTTAAAATACATAACTTAATAGAAAATGTAAATGTGATTCTTAGAATTTATAATTTTTTATTATGCTGATTCAAAAAGGGAATAATTTGTGATAGTTTATTTTCTTACAATTGTGGTTTGTGTCCAAATATTTTATAATCATAAAGCTACCCTTTTGTTATCAGTCAAAGTAGACAATATATATTGATGTTGAAACAAGCTTTGTAGAAGACATTTTTTTAAATCAGGCATGGGACTTTACATTTATTAGAAGGTGTTCACAAAAATAAGGGTAACATCATGCATATTCTTTGCAACTAAACCCAGTTATGGTTACAATTTGGAAATAAATAGACATATGGAGATACAGTAGTACATACACACTCTATTTATGACATTAAGTTAGTGTACTGATAACTCTCAGCAATACATCAGCAGTCGACAACCAGCGGATGGAAAGATTGTATAAGGAGGAAGAAACTGCTTCAATATCTCACGGTATTTATGTGGCTTGACAAGAATGTCAGTGTGAATTGCCTCCTAAATTTGGGAGGCAAGAACAAGTCAAGACTATACTTTTGCAGTACAAAACATTTACACACAAAATACACATGCATTGCAATGCATTGGAAATGGGTAAAGCAAGGAGAAACCCATTACTCAATGCTTTATTAACACAATTCTACAAAGGAGTCTCAAATAGGATTATATAGTTCAGTCACAGTAAGGCCACAATATTACAATGGATAAGGACCTTAGAATTCGGCATTCTGTCTTAGTAATAGAACCCTTCCTTCTTTATAGATTTTTATACATGTTCCTGAATGGTATCTCATCAAAGTCCTCCTTCTTTTTTTTTTTTTTTTTGTGTGTGTAAGTTTAACATATTGCTTAATACAACAGTTAGCACAGTAGAGAAGGGTACTGTCACAGGGAAAACAAAACCTATGTAACATTCATGTAGTTTTTATACTATATGCTTGGTGCATTTAGATGAAGCTGGCTAATCAGAAAAAAGACTAGCAAAGGATTTCCTCAAGTTTCGAATAGTTTCAGCTTTTGCTTCATCTTCATTC